TGTACCAGAGGCACAAGAACTGTGCAGTCAGTCCCAGAGCAGTTTGGGTCTCCATGGGGAAAGGAAGTCACGTGCCTGGGCTGTTTTTATCATCACGAGCCTAGTCTGGGCTGAATGCAGAACAGATACGTGCTCCAGTCCATCCGACTTCGTTTGTTTTGTGGAATCGAGGGTACCTTCATTCCTGTTCTCAAAATGCAAATTGTCTTCACAAGTATGCATTCAAACTGCAGAATGCGTGTTCATCTCGGGCTCATTCATACAGAATCCAAAGTGGGGTAGCAAGTTTAAGTTCCCTCTGAACTTGGGGACAGAAGCTTTTCAGTCTGTTTCCCCTCTCTACTTTTTCCCCTTTTGTTTGCCTTGTTTCCTGTCTTTTTTCTTTTTTTAACCTCTAAACATTTGGTTTCAAGGCAAAGTGAGAAATCAAAATGCTTCAAAATGAGGGGTGGTGACTTCAAGTTCAAAGGTGTTTTATAGTTCCCACCCCTCCTGATGTTTCTGGGTCGTGTCCTGTCATTCAAAAAAGCAGCCCCTGTGTTCTCAACACCACTGATAGCAGCATTTTCTCTTTTGTCTTAAAAAACAAAAAAGTAGCTATAAACCCCTTTGAACTTTCTGGTGAGGCAAAACAAATGTATTTGCCACATGCGTGCACACACTCATACACACACACACATCTTTGAAGATTCAGATTTTCATGTTTCGAGAGCAGGGCAACAGACTGATTTGCAATAAGTAGAATCAAAGAGAGCATGTGAAATGGGGGGAAAATGATCTCAAGAATGTGTGTGTTTACTTTTCTTGCATTTTTGTAGACAAGGCAACAGTAGTTACTTTATGTGGTCGTGTTTATAACTGAAAGTCATAAAGCTCCTGCTGTTCATTTTCTGTGGCAGTTTGCTACTATTAGTTTGATGTCCAAGAAGAGAGAGAAAAAAAAAAAAAAGGTTATGAAAGGCTGGAGATGTTAGACAGGAGCCGCAGAAGAATCTGGAAGAGAAACCGCATACCTCTGGGTTCTGTGCGTACACAGTTTGCTCTCTGCTTTTAACTGTCACACGTGTACCGGCTTTGGTTTTTGATGGTGAAGACCTACCCTCAACCTTTATTCCTGGCAGTAAAGTTCAAGAGTGCCGGCTGCCCCCTTGGGCAGCAGAGGACCGCGGTCCCTCGTGATGTCTTTGTTTAGCTACATGGCAAGCATTTTATGTGCCGTAGCATCGCCCTCCGCGCCGTTTGGTGACTTGTAAGAGAACGTCTGCAGTTGTGTGACTTTCACTACGATTCCACTTCAGAGCATCTGCCCTGCCCAGAAGACTCCCTTGTGCACTTGGCCCTTAACAGAAATTTCATGGAAATTGGACCACAGGTGGTTTAGTTTGGGCTCTGTCTCCTGCATTGATTGTGGTGTGTTGAGGTCCCGCCATGCTTCCTGTACTGATAGTTTGTTCTTATCACACGGGACTGTTCCAGCGTGCGGCTATAGCTGCTATTCTGTTTCTCAGCTTATTGGTTGTCAGTCATTTGGGTTTTGTTGTTGTTGCTGTGAATAACGTCTCTGTGGACACCGGTCAGACCGTCTCCCTCTAGACGTGTTTTCGTTTCTCTCGAGTGGATGCCTACGGTTGCAGTTGTTTGGCCATCCAGCTGATCTGTTTCTTTACACCTTCCACCAGTGGTGTTTAAGGTGTTCGTTTCTCTGCCTCCTTGTCAGCATTTGGTATTGTCAGACTCTCTTGTTTTAGCCATTCTGGAGGGTGTTGAACCATGCCTTTTGATACTGACTGCTTTTATTTCCTGAGAAGGTCTGGAAGTGTCTGGGTAACCTGATTATGCTTTTGCCATCCACTTTACGGATCAGAAGGCACTGGCCCAATCAGTGGGAAATCTGAATGCCTTACCCAAAATCCCCGAGTGAGTCACTACACCTCGAATCCTCCCACGTCAGTTGGAGTTGTAGCAACCTGTTTGTGTTCCGACTCCCAGCTCTTGTGACTCAGAACCCACTGTGTCCTTTCAGCGTTGTTAGGTATGGCTTTCTTTTTCATCTTTCACAAATGATCCTGCTAATCCCCTGTGGGATTGTGTCTCCTGAAAGGAGTCTGTTTGCTGCAGGAGTGTGCTAGCCTCTCTGAGAGGCTCTCCTCACCCTCTGCCTGACCATGTGGGGCCCGCCTTGGGCAGTCAGGTCTGGCTGGCAAAGCTGGCCCCACGGGGAATGTGCTACCTCCGTGCAGTCCTGCAGAAGAGGCGGGAGTTAGGGAGGTGGCTTGTCCAAGACAGCTGGCACTCCTTAAATAGTTCATACACTTCAGAACACATTCTTCAAAAAACAAAGACCTTGTGCAAGGCTGGTCACCTGCGGCCTGTGGATAGTAATGCCATTCACTCGTGTTCTTTCTCCTCTGTGACAGTGAGACAGGAAGACATTCTTGCATTTATTTATAGACTAAAAGAAACAAAATTAGCCTTGGTGTCTTCCTGTAACTGTTCCTTGGCCAGCAGCAAATATAGCAGTAGTCCTTTTTTATGAGTTTGTTATGTTCTGTCCTCGTCTTTTGGCTTTGTTTGGGGAAAACCAGTTGTGTTTCTCAGAGCTACTGTGTCATTTCGTTTACATCTCCCGTCACTCTGTCTGTTACAGCAGAATAAATTGTGACTGTTGCGCCTCCAAACTAGAAGTCCACCCCCCCCAAGCATCTCTCAGGCGTGGTGATAAGATTGGTGCGCTGGCAGAACTTCATTTTTAGATGGATCTGTGATCTTTTTTTAATACTCAATTAATTGTAGCTTTTTTCTGCTTGTTCCACTTGCCTGAAATACTTTGATTTTGAGTTCCTTCGACGGCTGCGGGAGCTTTACAGCCACCCAGTTAATGGAAGGCACTTTCTGCTGGGCCCATTACTGCTGTCCTCACGTGGCTGTTTCCTGTCTGAACTACCCATTACCTTTCGTGTTCAGGGGTGGCAGCGTTTTAATCTGTATCCTGATGGATCGGGGTGGGGTCGGGAGTGGGGGGCTCTAGTTGTCTGTGAAATGACTGTGTCTCTCTGAAACGGTCCTTGGGTCGCAGTGAGTTTCTCAGTGTCTGGAGCTGGGGGAAGCTGGTCTGGGGGCAGCGCGCTGCTGCACAGAGCGTCAGGAAAAAGGAAAGCGTTGAGGCAGCTTCAGAGAACAGAGTCAGCACGAGCAAGAAGCTGTCCACCGCGACTGGGAAAACGATCCATCAGGCGACTGGAGGAGCATGCCAGCGAACATGAGTCACGGAAGCTACGCGAGGTCCTGGACACGTGTGTGCGTGCTGGGCCTTCAGGCAGGAAGTGGGGGAGAAGGGTGCTCGCAGGGAAAGTCCAGCGGCCGAGGCCAGAGTCCAGCGCCTTGTTTGGGAAGCTGCAGGGCTGGAGTCGTGAGAGTTGAGACAGGCCTTCCCAGCATGCCTTGCACAGGGGAGCCCCGTGGGCCCTGGCAGGCTCTGATTCCTGATTCTGGTACCAGGCCCTGAACTCATGGCCCATCCCTTGCTCTTTCCAGCTGTGTGCCTGGGCAGCTCCCCAGGTAGAACCTGGACGCAGGACAGATTTGGGTCCGGGGGGAGAAGTCTGTTGGGCTGGACCCTGTCGTGTGGCGGAGCAGAGTCTCCCTCCAAGGCCACCCCTCGTGACCTAGGAGCCCCTCTGGAGGGAAGAGCCGTCCCAGGGCCTTCCCTGCTTGGATTGATTAGAGGCATACTGTGCCAGGTTTGGAGTGCTCAGTCACCCCCAGGAGCAAGTAGGGGTCCTGTGGTGACACAGCTGGGGGTCTGCAAGGGTTGAGGTGAAATTCTGCTTTTCATATTAAATTAGAGGATTTTACAAGGCACAGATGACTTGAAGTATGTGATGCTTATTACAGACCAAGCAACTGTGACATGAAAATACGGTGGTGGTGGTGGTGGTGTTAATCACACAGACGTGTGGCCAGATAACTGTGGAATGCAGTAAGGGCATAGTGCCTTTGTCCTCACTGTGCAGCTCTTTTTTTTTTTTTTTTTTTTGAATGTATGTGTTAGGATTTTTTTCCGCCATAACACAAGGCTGCTTCCCATGTTTGTGCATATTCCTACCTTGATACGGTGCACATTTAGAGCTAAGTGAAGTTTTTCTGTACTCAGGCCTGGCTGTTTGCTTATAGGCCAAAATCAAATTCCTTTGCCTCGACCCTCCCCTCTGCCAAAACAGTATTGATAAAACCGATGCTGAACTCAGATTAGGAAGGAGGTAGTTCCAGAGAACTGTCCATGCTGCTGGCCAGGCAAGGTGAGTAGGCATGGTGCTTGTGTTTTCTGACAGATTCGTAAGGCTAGTGCGGGGGGAAGAAGAGTGGGGGTGTGGGGTCGTGGAGGCTTCTCCCAGCACCCTCCCCCCCCCGCCCAGCAAAATGAAAGGTGCTGGGAAGAACATGCCCGGATGACACGCCTGTCTTGAGAATCCAGACTTTGTGAGTCTGTGTTAGAAATTAAAGTCAGGGGTTCTGGTCAGGGGTTTGGGTCTGCTCAGAACACCAGATTCTCCTCTAAGACCTAAGCGATGCTGAAATTGCCCCCAGCAGAGGTACGAGCTTGCCTGGTGTGTGTAGCGCGGGTGCACGCGTACACGCCGCAGAGCAGGGAGCTTTGGGCTGAGCAGTCTCCCGTCTTGGACGGATGCTGCAGGGGCTATTTCCAGAGCTGGCTCTGTTTGCAGCTGACTGTGACTCACGGCCGACCAGACCGACGCCTTAGCCCCCAGAGGACTGCCCTGTGCGGAATGCAAACTCATTGTCATCATGAGCCAGCCTGGGGAGCGGCTCCATGGAAAAAGTGAAGGTGGCTCAGATCCGGCTCGGAGCGGGCGGCGGAAAATAACCGCGTTCTGCCTCGTTCTGCCGGACTTCATGCTCCCTTTCCCGGGAGCCCTGGGTGGCTGGGGTTCAAGGTAACAGCAGAAATCAGACTCACTACAGGATTTTCCCTTCTACAGAGTTGGAACACAGAGGAGACTAATCCCCAGCGATGACCGGGGATTCTGAACCACGGAGTCATACTTTCTCAGCGTTTATTTTTGCTGTCACACCTGTTTTTGAGATCATGCATTGTGGAAGAGAAGGAGAGAGAGGGAGGTTCATAAGTGTGGGCGGCCGGCAGCATTCGCCTTTCCTGCCTTCACAGTGACATTCCAGGCGTCCGGAGGGCGAGGCACACCCTTTACCTCAAGGCTGAGAGGGCAGAGAGAGCGGGGGCTTTGTCCCGTGAAACCCTGGTTACCGCCAGACTTGGAAATGCAAGTACTGATGCTGTTGTTGCCGTTGTTTTAAACCTTTCTTTCTTTCTTTATTTGAAAGGCAGAGTTAGAGAGAGAGAGAGAGAATCTTCCATCTTCTAGTTCATTCCCCAAATGACCACAATGACCAGAGCTGAGCTGACCTGAAGCCAGGAGCCAGGAGCTTCTTCCAGGTCTCCCGTGCGGGTGCAGGGGCCCAAGGACTTGGGCCATCTTCTGCTGCTTTCCCAGGCCATAGCAGAGAGCTAGATCAGAAGTGGAGCAGCCCATATGAGAACCAGGCGCCGGGACTCGAACTGGCGCCCATATGGGATGCTGGCACTGCAGGTGGCTGCTTTACCTGCTGCACCATAGCTCCAGTCCCTGTTGTTGTTTTTAAAAAGATAGTTCCTCATAGTATATCTTAATGCCATTGTAGAAACAGTGCAGATTTTAAATGATGCAGATGCTGTAACAACATCTCAATTAAAAGAGTTGCTTTGTGGAGAGCCTTTTGCTTCCCATTTTCCTGACTAGTTTTGTTAGCAGGCAAAATATCATTCTTGGTACTGAACACTTTTCCCCCCTCCACCGCCCCCAAGTTCCCATTAACATCTCTCCCCACAGAACGCGGGGGGTGACTGCCGCTGGTGCTGTGGTCACCACAGTTGCATTGGAATCTTTGAGTACCCCTCCCCTCTCTGTAGTCCCTAACACGTCGAACATGTAGTCAGATGGACAGACCGATATCCTATCCTCATCCCTCTCTGGCTGCTTTGCCTTGTCCAGACCAGCCTGTGTGAGCCCCGCTTTCCTCATCCGTCAGGCAGTTCCGCAGTGAAGCATTCAGCCAAGAGCTGTCCCTGGGTGACGACAGCTTACAGACAGTGGTGTCTATGTTGTCAGCGCTGGCCTTTTCCAGTGCCACCGTGCAGTTTTTAGTTTGTCGTCAGCAGTGCAAGGAGCCCTGAGAACCAACAGTGCTGACCAGGAAATGTAGCCACGGCCAGATATTGGGTGGCTTCTGGGAGCCGGCTGAAGCGTCCCCAGGGTTAAGATGACAGAGAAGGGGGCCGGTGCTGTGGCGTAGTGGGTTAGGCCACAGCCTGCAGTGCCAGCAATCCCATATGGGCACCGGTTTGAGTCCCGGCTGCTCCACTTCCAATCCAGCTTCCTGCTGATGCGCCTGGGAAAGCAGTGGAAGATGACTCAAGTCCCTGGGCCCCTGCACCCGCGTGGGAGACCTGAAAGAAGCTCCTGGCTTTGGCCTGGCACAGCCCTCAGCCAGTGCTGCAGCAGCTGGGGCTGGGCCAGCCCAAAGCCAGGAGCTTCTTTCAGGTCTCCCACGTGGGTGCATGGGCCCAGGGACATGGGCCATCCTCTGCTGCTTTTCCCAGGTGTGTTAGCAAGGAGCCGGATTGTAAGTTGAGCAATTGGGACTCAAACCAGTGCCCATATGGGATGCTGGCACTGCAGACGGTGGCTTCATTCTTTGTGCCACAGCACTGGGCCCTGAATAAATCTTAAAAAAAAAATAGGGGCCGGCGCTGTGGTGTAGCGGGTAAAGCTGCCATCTGCAGTGCTAGCATCTCATAGGGGCGCTGGTTCTCATATGGGCTGCTCCACTTCTGATCCAGCTCTCTGCTGTGGCCTGGGAAAGCAGCAGCAGATGGCCCAAGTGCTTGGGCCCCTGCACCCGGGACCTGAAGGAAGCTCCTGGCTCCTGGCTTTGGATTGGCCCAGCTCTGGCCTTTGCAGCCATCTGGGGAGTGAACCAGCAGATAGAAGATCTCTCTCTCTCTCTGCCTCTGCCTCTGTTTAACTCTGCTTTTCAGATAAATAAATAAATCTTTAAAAAAAAATCTTAAAAGCAAAAAAAAAGAAAGATGCTAGAGGAGGCCAGTGTGCTTCTGTGGAGGGGCCGGAGCATGCACTGCAGAGGTGAAGGAGGAACACCAGGCTCCTGGGCTGGCCAGGACGCTGCCCCATGGGGTGGACAGACACGGCCTCACGCTCTGTCCGCAGGCTCCCCCGCAGGAGTTTGAGCTGAAGTCATTGGAGCTGTTTGGGTTGTGGTCTTCATGAGCTCTGTTTACAGAACATTTGGTTCTCCACAGACATGGTGCTTGCCGGCATCCTGAACCGTGAAGAATCTCGGGAAGTTTTCAGAAGCAGATTTTGAGACCCCCTCCCCCAGCGCGCACGCGCACACACACACACACACACACACCCAAACGCACGCACACAGACACGCAGCTCTGGGGGCGTGAGTTTACTGTAACTGTTACTCTCAGGTAGAACTGGCCCAGATTAGTTAATAAGGTCACTGAAGTGCTGACTCGGTAACAGAAACCTGCTCCCATACTGCAGAGTGGTCCCCCGTCGTCTGAGCTGTGGGTAATGGGCTATGAATGATTTAAAAAGGTGTCTCGGAGTGACCTTGCTTATGTAATCAAGGATCAATATATTTTTTTTAGAACAAAGTTTTTAACGATAAGCCGTAGCCTTCCCTGATAATCAAACATCATTTTCCAGTGGTTAAAAGGGTCAGTGGACAAAGCCCAGTGGACTGACGCTGGCTCCCTAATTGCTAAGGATAGCACCGCCACCTGCCCTCTGAATTATGAGCGTGTTTGAATTTTTTATGGGGAAGGAATTTTTCTTTTTTAATCTGGGCTAATTTTCACATCAAATGGCGTATTAGCCAGCTGGGAGTATCAGACCAGACAGGTGGCTGCTGCTTCTCACCTGAGGCCTGCTTTTCCCCCCGTGAGGTTTACTTTAAACAAGAGTAAGGGATGTGAGAGAGCTGGAATGGGAGCAAGGGGCCGTGAGTCCTTGACATTCTTGGAATATTCTTAACCTCGGTGGACGAAAAACAGCAGTTCAGCTGCAGGCTCCCGGGCAGGTGAGGGCAGCGCGGAGGCTCCGGAACATTCTGGCCCTTTTGTCTGAGGCACTTCTCCTCTTGTCAGCGGTGAGAGCAACTCCGTGGGTGTCACAGGCCAGAGGCCGTCGTGTGGTGACTGCCCTGTCAACAGGGCCTGCCCCTGAGACAGGGCCACTTCCGTAGTCAGGCCTGAGCATGTGCTGACGGTGGAGGGAGAACAGGTCTGTGGCTTTCTCAAAGTAGGGGAAATACTCAGGGGAGTGGAGAGAGAGGAGGGGGTAAAGACAGCATTTCTGATTTCCTGCCTGTCTGGCTCTTTCCCACAGCCTTTCACGTTTCCTAAGATGGACTTTTGTCCTGCCACCCTCGCCCAAAGATCATCCCATGCCGCTTCTCTCGGATTGGCCTGCTTACCACTTGGGTACTTGTTCTGTTTCCCTGTTCAGAATCTCTTGTTCAGGGATTTTTCAAGATGGTCCTAAGGTACAGGCACCCACATCATGGTCTGCGGGCTGGGGACAGCCTCGGGGTCCTGGTTGAGGACAATGGGAGAATGCCAGAGAGCTTGTCCTCACCCCTAGCACTCTGTGGCCTGTTTTCCTGGCTGGGGCCACTCTGTGGGCTTGTCTTGCACATCTTCCACTTTCCATCAGTAGATATTATCAGCCCCCAGCCACTGTTCTCTTGGCCTGAAGATGCTCTCTTGTCCCCAGCAGCAATACGGGATGCTGGTCAGTGCCTGCTCTTAGGGTCCAGGGGCTGTTTGTGAGTGAGCTGGTGCGTTGCCTCCTGTGCCCTCCCTGGCCGAGTGGCCGTGGATGTAGGAGGTGTTCGTCAGGAGGTAAGAGGGGAAGGCAAGGCAGGGTGTCTTAGGTCATCGTGTTTACCTGATTGATGTCTTCTTATAAATAATCCTCACAGTTGACATTTAAGAAATAAAATGGTTGAGGAGGTAGGTGGCTCGTGTTAGATTTTAGCTGACAGGAGCTAAGGATTTCTCTGGTATCTCATTCCCCAAATGTTTGGAGTGTCAGCTCTTTGTACCTAGGTCTGTCTCGCCTAGGTCTGCCGTGGAAAAGTCTTGCTTTCCTAGGGCGGTGGTCACGGTAGTAGGCAGACTGCCCGTTCCCAGGCTCCGGCACTGCCCCAGCCGCCAGCGGCGCGCAGGAATGAGTAAGCTCCACGTGGCTACATTCTAATAGGGCCCTGACCCGGTTTGAACTCAGTAATGAGGAAAGAGCAGATTTTTTTTTTGTTGTTCCCCCTGCCTGCCCTCCCTCCCTGCCTGCTCCTTTATTATCTCCAAGAGGAAATTGAATAGCAAAATTCTGCATTCTCATAACGCTAATGGACTGATGTCATCTTTTCCACTCCGAAGGCGAGAGAGTAAGAGGCACGGCTGAGGGAAGCAGGTTGAGCCCCTCAGAGCTGCCCAGGGCTTCAGCCGTGGACGGGGTGCGTGTCACTGTATGTTTCTGATGTCTGTGAGGTGTAATTTACATACCATAAACAGTTCCCACGGAGTTTTAGTCGATGAGCCGTCCCATTTTAGAACATTTCCATCACCCCAGAAAAATCCCCCGGGACTTTTCGCTGCCTTTCTCTCCCCTCCCGGGCCCCAAGGCAGCCAGCAATCTCCCGGAGCGGTTTCTGTGACTTGTGTCTTCTGAACGTTTTGATTGTGGGATTGTGCGGGGCGCAGCCTCCGGCGTTCTGCCTTCTTGCACCAGCGTGTGCGTTGTCGGGGTTCGTCCTGGTTGGAGCCTGTCCCTGCAGCTGCTTCCTTTTCACTCCTGACTGGTACTCCCCCGTCGTGTGGATATACCACATCTTGTCTGTCTGGCGTTTGACGCACGTCTTCTGGTCATTTCCGTTTGAGGCTGTCGCGCTCCGAGACTCATAAAAGTTCCTGTGTTGACATTTGTTTTCAGTTCTCTTGGGTGGATTCCCACTAGTGATATGTGAGGGCTCCAATTTCTCTGCATCTCTGCCAGAGGCTCTATTTAAGGAATAACCTTAGCCATCGGGTCTGAATGTGTATTCTTGGGCATAAAGTAAACCCAGGGGCTATTTTGTTTTTGTTTTTGTTTCTGCTACAATGTTTCACGCCTTGTTAACACCTGGAACCAAAATCAGGTCCTTTGATGCTCCCTTTCACTTGTCTTTCACTTCCAGGTCTGGCCAGCAATTTGTGCAACTAATAGTCTGACATTGTTCCCTGTCGTTGTTTGACATTGTTGGGTTTCATTGTTTCTTGTTGTGAACCTGACATACAAAGTGTGGAGAGCTTGTGTGTTTGTTGGTGTTACTGTTGAATCATTAAATTAGTGTGCCTTGAAAAACCAGGTTTTTTTTTCCTGTTTTAAATTGTTTTTCCCTTTCTCTGTTCTTTAAACCAATGTTTGTAGCTTTGTATTTCTGATTGTATGCATTGTTTGAATATAGAGTAGATACAGATGTATCTATGGGGCCGGTTTTATGGTGCTTTAAATAACACTCCTCGGGGTTTATTTGGAAAACACAGTTAGTGATATTTGTATAAATCGGGGCTGTTTCCAAAGTCCCAGAAACGTTGTGCACGAAGACTCGCCAACGTCTGTGAATGTGGCGGGGACTCCTGCGCGTCTTTTGGGGCCGAATCACTGAAGTCGCTTTTTATGTTTGCCTGCTCTGGGATTTTGCAGATGCATTTTCCTTTGTAGTGAGCTAATCGAGCCGCTCCTGTTTTTCTAAATGGGTCATGTGGTTGGTCCTGGCAAAGCCTGTTCTGGTAGGGCGGCCCTTTCATCAGGGGTGAGGTCCGTGCCCATTCTTCGAGCAGAAGCAGAGCCTCCGAGCGCTCGTTGTGGTGGGCCCTTTTGATTTTTGAGCTTGTGCTTGGTGTCCAGAGTGAGGCTAAGCAGTGACCAGGTGAAGAGAGTGTTCTAAAGAGGTGCACTTGACCATCAGGTTCCCATGTGGTGCCCAGGAGCTAAAGTCACGTCCTCAGTTCTCCTTGGATCCAGTCACTCAGTAAGCAACCTCAACACGACTTATACATGATTCTGGTGTAGAGAGGGATGTCACAGGGAGGAGCTGGGGTGATGTGGGTGTCACGACAATTGGGGCTGCTCCTGGCCGTTGGTGGGCGGAGCACATGGCACCGTGCCGTGGGCTGGGGACCACGATTCTCCTGCAGGCCTCAGGTGCTCCTGGGAGAGTTGTGCAGACGGGAAACCAGTTTCTGATGTTTGGACTTAGAACCTGACTCTGTGTGATACATGTGGATTTAATATGCACCGAGGGTTCTAGGAATGTAGCCGCCAGGTGAATCTGGGAAGATGGTGTTTTGTTGAATTTTTCCAAGAGTTGCTTCCCGTTTCACAAAATCTCAGAAGCAGTGGGAGTGCTTGTGCGGTGTCGGAGCAGCCACGTGGCACCTGCTTCGGCGTGTGCCAATCTCTGTGTGTTTCCGGGATTCTGCTGGTCCCTGGCTGCTTCACAGTATTCAGGCTTCTGCTTATAGATAATGAAATCTGTATTAATTCATTACAACCCACTTTCCTTTTAATTCTTCTCCATCATATAGGTTTTCCCATCAAAATTGTATGTATTATGTATGTTAGCGTACTCAATTTTATTTTGAGGTAGTTTTTTTTTTTTTCTCAAAGATTTATTTATTTATTTTGAAAGTCAAGAGTTAGAGACAGATCTTCTATTCACTGGTTTACTCCCCATATGGCTGCAATAGCCAACACAGCCAGGCTGAAGCTGGGAGCCAGGAGCTTCATCCAGGTCTCCCAGGTGGATGCAGGGCCATCTTCCACTGCTTTTACCTGGAACATCAGCAAGGAGCTGAATCAGAAGTGGAGCAGCCAGGACACGAACCGGCACCCCATGAGATGCCAACACTGCAGGCAACTTGACCAGTATGGCACAGCGCTGGCCCCCTTGAGGTAGCTTCAAGCAGAAGTGTTGCCATGGGCTCCAGGACCCAAGGGTGTTGTGGCCCATGTTACTGAGGTTCTGAATTGGTGTGTGGGGAAGAGTGACAGCTGGTGGGAGGTGGCAGCAGTGGGGCCTGGAGGATGCAGGTGGATAAAGCTTCCAGGTGGCCGGGTGGGCCAGGTGGTCACTGCTGTGGATTCATTCTTGCCAGGGTTTGGCCTCGTGTACTCAAAACCCCACTGAGCCGGCCACACGCTGCTGAGAGAGCTGTGCTCAGAGGCATAGAGCTAGGGTAAGGAGTCAGGCTGTCGGGCCTCAGGGGCCATGACCACATCCGTGGTGGGCGTTACGTAGACGCAGACAGTCTTAGATTCTCCGGCCTTTGCCCTTTCTGTCTGTGTGTGTTCCTGATGCGGAGCTTTGCCCGGCTCACACCGGAGCGGCCCCTTCTGAAGCCCACATGTTCTCAGCAGGGTAAAGTTACTTGGATCCCGCAGGTGTAAGTGCCCTTTCTCTCTGTAGACCGTGTGCACCCTCCTGGGCTCTGGGATACCGGCCACCCATTCATCATTCCAGGTCACTGGATGCCATGCTGGTCACCTCCCCGCCACCCCTGGAATTCAGAATTCGAGAGGCATCGTGTTTCCCCAGCTCCGTCACGAGTGCGGGTTGGAGTTTGTGGGTAGTTGTTGCCTCCTTCCATTTGTTTTTGATATTTTGGGCATTTCAGTGCTTTAGAAGCACCGATTCCAGCGGTTTGTCAGAGGTGCAGGAGAAAAGCAGTGACGTCAGCCACGTTCTGGAAGCTCCTGGGAGAGGCTTGTTCAAGGGCAGGAGGTTGAAATGTGCTTATGATACCAGAACGTGGGCTTTTCACCGAGGCTTTGCCTGTCCCCACGGTGTCCTGGCCGGCTGGGCCGTCTGCCACAGGGCCTGTCGGGCACGGCGGGGCGGCCTTGGCTGTGGTGCACCCAGCCAGTGCAGTCAGAGGGGCTTCCTGGGGATCTCCCTTCCCAGTGCTCAAGGAGTTGACCTCTCGCTTCCAGCACCCAGCTGACCACTGCCGCTGTGGCCATACCTGGTTTCTCCTGGAGGTGACTAAGCTCTGGTTCTGTTGGGTACTTCTCTTTCAGAGCAGCATATTTCCCAGTTTTGTCATCACCTAGAAAGCTACTACTCACTGTAATATGTTAGCGTTTGCCCTTTAAGTCTTTCAGGGAAAATAATCACAGAACACGCAGTAGAGTATGTTCTGTATTTGTGATTTCTACCTTACGGCTTCCAGAGTGATGCATGCGGGCTGTTTTTATTTTTTAGATGAACTGAATTCGGTAGCTTTGAAATTCTCTGTTTTGGGACAGGTCCGTCCCTGTCATAAAGGTGACTGATTGGCCATGAATACTGGCGTCCAGTGTTTAGGGGCAGCTGTATGTTCCCTCCGTTTGAAAGCCGTACCTGGGGACCCAGGTTGGCCCATGTGAGCGTGGAGCAGCCATCTGAGTGCACGTGGGATGGAGAGTGGAGGCCCCTGGCTGCCTCCCTCTCACTCTGGCTCTGTGCGTGACCATGGATGTAAAAGGCGAGAGCAAAAGTCCTGCCTTCCCTCTGTCTCCATCTCGGGGTCTGAGGGGATGCCACCAGCCCGCCCGCGTGACTCGCGTGTCCAGTCTGCAGTCACAATGTGGAAATGGTGGAAGATGAGCCCCCGTTCAGCAATTAACTGCAGGGCTGTTTACGTTCTGCTTTAAGGGTTCTCCTGAAATGGATACTCCCCAGTTATTTCTAAGAAATATGCAGTTACACAGCCGTCTCCTGCTTTCTGGCTTTTATTAAAATGCAAATGGTCTTAACTTCAAAGTAGCATAATTGAATCCTGAAAGAAGTATAACTGATACTTTGCCTCTTCCCTGGTATTTTTGTTTTATCGTCTGGCCTGGCCGGCTTTTCCGACCGCCTTGCTCTCCGAGTCGGTAAAGCCCCTGCGGGGCTGGGCTTGTTCTCGGCCTGGCGGGAGACAGGGTGTGTGTGTGTGTGTGTGTGTGTGTGTGTGTTACAGCTGAAACCTGGGGTGAGCCGTGTGGGCTCTGCTGGTGCTGCCAACGCAACCTGTATGTTAAATACAAATATTGTGAAGAGTGTCAGTTATTTTGATGCATTAAGTTTCTCTTCAGTTACCTGTGTTTGTTACTTAGTGCGTCTGTCTGCCTTTGCCCTTCACACACTGAAAAGTGTCAGGAAACTAATGCAGGCTCCCTTCTCTCCCTCAGTGTCCAGTAGCAGAACACAGTTAGGACACTGGGCGTGCCTCCCAGGTACCCAGAATGCCATGTGCCCAGCACATGCCCGCATCCAGGTCTTCATTTTTGACTCAGAGACTGAGTTGGCATTACAGAACCTGATAACCTATTCCAGCCTCACTGTGTGTCAGAGCCCAAGAGCCCAGCTGTGTGGCCGTGTCGGGGTAGTGGCCAGCTGGGAAAGCAGGGGTCAAGACCACAGGTGTACCTGTGTCGATGGAAAGGGCCTGTCGGATTTCACTCCACAAGGTGTTTCACCTGTGCACCTGTTCCAGCCTTCCCCCCACCTTCCGCTGCCCATAGGTGGGGGAACAGAACACAAGCGCCCTCTGCTGTTGCTGGGCCCTGGAGCTTCGGGTCCCCCTGCCCCAGCCGGTCGTCGGCACGGCCCCTTCGTGTACCACAACTGCGCCACAACTGTGGGGCTTTGATGTCCCGGGGCCCCCACCCCTGCTTTTGATTACATGTGTTTCTGCTAAAGGCGACTTTTTCCAGCACTCACAGGGGGGATGAATCAGTTAACTCAGTCCCCCGTAGCTTTTTGTACTTTGTGGTTTCTCTCATCCTCGTACATTAACCATAACATGGGAAGGGGCATGATCAGAAGGCACACGTCCCAGGAAATCAAGCAGCTCACTGCGGGGCTCCAGAAACCCTCAGCATGGCTCCTCCAGCAGCGGGCCCGGAGACACACTCGGTCACGCGCGTCTGAGAAATCCCCTCTGCCCCTGGAGGCGAGCCCTTGCTCTCCAGGGCACCCCCACCCACAGCTGCTGGTGTGCCCCTGTGCCCGGAGAGCTGTTCTGGGCCAGACAGACCCATCGGACTTCCATCCCGTCAGGACCAGAGCAAGGCTCCAGCCTCCCAGGGAAACAAGGCAGGTCCTGTGGCACCGTTTGCAAAACGTGCCTCTTGAATATGTTCTCTGTTAAGGCAGTTCTACCATTCAAAGGTGTTTCTGAAACAGAAGCCACACTGCGATGTGCAGAGCTGCTTCCCTCTGCCCCGGGCTGGGCCTGTGAGAGACAGCCATGTTTGCTCTCCGAGGGTGTCTCCAGCAAAGCTGACCTTCCCCCAAGCCTTCTGTGTGCTCTGGAGGTCGCTCCTGGGCACTAGACCTCGTCTTGTCACATTTCAACAGCCAGAGAGGCAGTTTTATAACCAGCAAAGAACAGGTGCTATTCAGGAATCAATAAGTGGCACCCAAACAAATAGGTTCCCAGTTGGCTGAACCAAGTCAGGCCTGGGTGATCTGTGCTTATTCCCACTCCTGTGCTTTTGCTTGTGATGGGAGAGCCTTGTCACTGATGAGTCGCCCCGAAAGGTCCCCGGGGGTCTTAGCTGGGGGTGTGTGCCCATGCACATGTGTGTTGCAGGGTGCAGACTTCAGTACTGTGCCAAGCACAGAACACTGGAGATCATTTCAGAGTGGCTGTTTTTAGGGTAGCAGGAGATTCCGTTGGGAGCAGCGCAGAGGGAGGCACACCTGATGTGGCAGGGAAAGGTGCCGGCAACTTCAGCCAACCCAGAGGCCTAAGAATAGCTCAGTGGCTGCGTGCTGTTAATCTCGGAGGCAGTTCTCTACCGCTAGGTCACGGCGACCAGAGGCTGGTGAGATTGAGGTGTGCGCCCCGTCTGTCCTCATCTCACCCCTCCCTCTCTCTGGTGCCAGCCCTCCCCTCCCTGTTCATTCAGGTGCCCTCGTGCCTTCCAAGTGCCCGATATGTCTGCATCCTCATCTCCTGTCCCCCCGGCAAAGCCTGCCCCTCCAGCTGCCCTCTCTCCTTGTCTTTGGTGGGTGGTGGGACAGCCGGAGGAGCGGGCAGGCTTCTGCAGGTGACCGTGGTCCTCTGTCCTCAGTGAGTCTTCATGTTGGAAAGTGTACCCAAGGCTCAGTCCCATAGCCCGGTTTCCCCTCTGTTAAAGATGGAGTGCCTAGCTGCAGGTGTTTAGCGTAGCAGTTACCACATTCCGTATTGCAGTGCCTGGGCTCCAGGCCTGACCTTGCACTTCATCCCACGTTCCTGCTGTGTGCACCCTGGGAGGCAGCAGGTACTGGCTCAAGTGGTTGGCCCCTGTCACCCATGTAGGAGACCCACGTTGCTTTCCCCACTCTTGGCTTTAACCTGGCCCAGCCCTGGCTGTTGCAGGCATTTGAGGAGTAAACCAGTGGGTGGAACCTCCCCCTGCCCTACCCGTTCTCTGCCTCTCAAATAAATAAAATAAATTAAAAATGAAATATTAGGTTAATTATTATGGTATAAAATATATTAATAAATTCTATCCTACTTAATATGCCTGTCATCAAAAAGGTCATGTGAGAATTTTTTTTTCCTGAGATTTATTTATTTGAAAGGCAGAGTACTAAAAGAAGAATCAGAGAACAGAGAGAGATTGATCTTCCATCCACTGGTTCACTCCCCTAATGGCCACGAGTGCCAGGTCTGGGCAAGGCCAAAGCCAGGAGCCAGGAGCCCCATCTAGTCTCCCACATGGATGGTAGCGATCCAAGTACTTGCGCCATTAACTGTTGCCTCCCAGGGTGTGCATTAACAGGACTCTGGATCGAACCTGATGGTGTGGGCGTCACAAATAACTGCCTAATGTGCTGTGCCGTAACAGCTGCCCAGAAATGCAAGCTTTAAACTGGGTCTTCAGCAGGATTGAGCAAGTCACAGTTTTTTACATTTACTTTATTTGGGGACATTACACACATGAAGGTGAAGTATGAGGAGCTGATGGTGTAGCCTTAACAGATTTGGCTGCTGCCTGCAGTGCCAGCATCCCTTATGGGTGCCAGTTCGAGTCCCAGCTGCTCCACTTCCAATCCAACTCCCAGTTAATACATACACCTGGGAAAGCAGCAGAAGATGGCCCGAGTCCTTGGGCCCTTTCATCCACGTGGGAGACCCAGAAGAAACTCCTGTCTCCTGGTGTCGGCTGTGTGGCCATTTGGGGAGTGAACCATCAGATGGAAGATCTGCCTGTCTCTCCTTCTTTCTCTCTGTAACTCTGCCTTTCAAATGAATAAAATAAATCTTAAAAAAGAGAGAGGGAGTATGAAATATAATGGCGATTCTGTATATGGAAGTAGCTAGCAAAACTCATATTGTTTACTCAGAAGTTAAATGCCTCAGATTCCAGAGTGAGCAAGTTAAATTTAGGGATACAATAAATAGATGTTTACGGTATCAAATTACATTGCTTAACCCAGCGGGGATTTCTGATGTTTGTGTGTCCTTCTCTGTTGCTGCCTTGCTGTCAGCTGTTAGTTGTGAGCCCTGAATGGTGAGAGCATTGCCTCCCCCATGGCGCATGGAGGCCTCGTCCCTCCTTGTCTTGTCCTAGGAGTTTGGTTCTGCCACTCAACATGCCTGCTGCTTTTTTTCCCCCAAGGGTACATATTTAAAAGCAAGGGAATTTTCAGTTAGTTTGAACCATAATCATAGCATTTAAAATTTTTTTTTAATTTAAATTTCATTTATTTGAATGGCAGAGTAATAAAGGAAGAGACAGAAAGAGAGAGAGAGATATCTTCCACTTGCTAGTTCACTCCCCAAATGCTTGCAACAGCTGGGACTGGGCCAAGTCAGAGCCAGGAGCCAGGAGCTCCATCCAGGTCTCCCACGTGGGTAGGAGGGACCCACATACCTGGGCCATCACCTGCGGCCTCTCGGGTGTGTATTAGTGGGAAGCTGGATCAGAGTGGAGCTGAGACTGGAATCCAGGCTCTCCGGTATAGGTGTGTCTTAATCAAGATGCCAAATGCCCACCACTGCACTCTATGTTTTCTACAAAGCCAAGAAGTGACTATAAGTTGCTTCAACTTTATTTTTATTATACTTTCAAGTAATGGCTTGGATAGGTATGTTCCCAAAGAGGATCCTTGAAATGGGAAAATAGACCCCAACATCTTTTAAAACATCCGCTCCTCCCCCTATTTCCTCTTCCTCTGCTGTAGAGGTTGATGTGGTAGAGTAGCATCAGGGTTCCATAGGACAGACCAGACTAGTAAGTGCAAATGGAGTTCCGAGACGCTTCATGTAGATGAGAGCACTTGAGATCGTGCTCCTCACAATTTGAGATTTATCCAGGGAGGAGAAATGGATGCAGGCTGGGGTTGAAAACAAAGGAGAGAGAGAGTCTCTGGACTACTTAGATATTCATAATATTATTGCCCTCAAGTCAGAACTCGGAGGCTTCATTTGGCTCGTCAGTTTTTATGTGGACTAAAGGCATTGTGTGGGAGTTGAAATATTCTCATGCTTTAGTGCTAGGAGTCAGTATGCTGTCTTTTTTAATTTTTTTTTTTAAATTCATTTGAAAGGCAGAAAGACACAGAGGTCTTCTTCATCTGCTGGCTCACTCTCCAAATCCCTGTAACAGCAGGGGCTGGACCAGGCTGAAGCCAGGAGCCCACTCAACCCGGACTTTCCCACGTAGAGCCAGAAACCAAGAGCCAGGGGCCAGAGTTGAAACTCAGACCCAGGCACTCTGATTCGGGATTCAGATGTCCCAGGCAGTGTCCTAACTGCTGCACCAGGCACCGGCCCTGAGAAGTTTGCTTTCTGGCATCAGCTGACAGCTGCTTGTTGTCGGGAGCGGCAGCTAGGGGAGGCAGATCTGTGCTGGTGATCTGAGAGATCTCCGGGAAGAGGGGCTGTTGAGATGCGGGCCTGCTAGGAGTCTCTCTAATGACAGGGTTGGGCTGGCTGGTAGGATTCTGGCTTTGTTATGAACCTGGGAGACAAGTAGGAAGATGTCCCATGTACCTAGTGTTTCATTTAATGATCTAGAAGAAAATAGTTTTTTTTTTTTTCTATTTATCACACGCCGATTTTCTCCTTAGAGGAACATTAATAGTTGGTATTTTTGAAAACTCTGGCTTTATTCTGCGTCCTGTAGGAGCAGCCAGTAACCAGAGCTGACAGTCTGACTCGGGTCCAGGACTCGTCAAAACACTTTGAAGACCTGAGTGTAAGTCTCTCAGGTGGGGAGTCAGTCTGTAAGGAATCTCTTTTGCATGAATGAGTTTGTTTTATTTACTGATTTTTTTTTTAAAGACTTGTTTATTTGAGAGGCAGAGTTGCAGAGAGAGAGAGGGAGACAGAGAGAGAGAGAGAGAGAGAGATCTTCCGTCCACTCTCCAAATGGCCACAATGACTGGCCAGACTAAAGCCAGGAGCCTGGAACTCCATCTGGGTCTCCCACACAGCTGGCAGGGGTCTAAGTACTTGGGCCGTCTTCTACTTTTCCCAGGCTGCATTAGCAGGGAGCTGGATGGGAAGTGGAGCCTCTGGGACCTGTTTGGGGCGCTGTTGTTGCATTCAGCAGCTTAACCTGCTGTGCTAGCCCCTGATTTGCCATTTTGCTGTTGTTTTAAGATTTATTTATTTGAAAGACAGAGTCACACACACACACACACACACTCACACTCACACTAGCTGGGGCTGGGCCGTCTGAATCTCCCACGTGCATGGCAGGGGCCCAGGCACTTGAGCCATCTTTCACTGTCTTCCCAGGTACTTATTAGCAGGGAAGCTTGACTGGAAGTGGAGCAGCCAGGACTCAAACTGGTGCTCCGATACAGGATGCCAGCATCGCAGGCCACGTCTTAACCCGCTGCTCCACAACAAAATAAGTCTTTGGACACCAGATTCAGATAGCTACTTTGAAGACGTTGGTACTTGTCTCGTCATTCGTTCCTCTGCGTCATTCATTCCTCTGAGCCTCACCTACCAAGTGCTTTCAGATCCTGCCCCAGGAAGTGGGCCTGGCCCCAGGCAGAACCTCCTATGTGGTGGTCGCAGTAAGCTTTGCTGTCCACCTCCCGGATTCTCGCTGCCTGGTGGTTTATGACGGCTGTAGGCGTTTCTGCCACATCTCGGGTTCCTCCTTGAGGATGTACACGAGACACGGTGTGATCCTGTTTTCTCTAAGCCAAGCCCAAGTGTGCAACTCTTGGAATTTTCCCATGGAACTTGCTCGCTTCTGAAAGTTTCACCGGAAGGACTTTTTTTTTTTTTTTATTTTTTGGTTATTTGAAAGTGTGGAAATACTGTCTTTTGATTTTGTTTTTTAAAGTTGTCATCTGTGAAGGTGGAATTTGACTGCTAGCTCCTACTTGCTTTAAATCTCTGTGGAAAAAAAGTTTAAATTTTAAATAATTTCCTGAGAGTAGCCACCCTTAAATGATATGAATCATAGTGGGTGTGTGGGGGGGGGGCGGTCCTTGGTGTTTAATCTTTTCAAAAAGAGTTTCCTTGCTTTGTAACGATCTTAAATAAATATTTGCCATGAAGTACAGTAGAGTAGCTACTCGCTGTTAAGGAATGGGCATGTGGCACCCCGTTCCTTTGAGCCAGGGTCCGAATGGTTGGATTTTGTTTTTTGGTGGTGTGTGTTTCAGTGTGGAGAGAAGACCATGGTTTGTTGCAAATGTCTCCCGGCACTGCACAGCTGAGGGATGGGGGGAGCCGGCCCCCCGCGGCAGCACTTGAAGTCTTGCTGTTTGAGAGCCCTTGGGTCTCCCTGGTCTCGGGCCTGACCACAAGCTCGCCTCGTAGTCAGCGCCCTGCGGGTCACCTACAGGGGGTGTGGTCGTCACCGCGAGCCGAGCCGGCTGGTCGTGCACGTGGAACGTGTCACTTGCAGAGAGTCGAGGCTTCTCTTTAAAAGCGTCATTCAGAGCGAACAAGCTGTGTTCAGTCTGACCTTCACCGGCCGATGCGAAGGTGCCTTCGGCCTAAGAGTAGACCTGGAAATGGTGCAGGACACGCAGACGCTTTTGTAAGTATTTTTCTAAAATGACCTCATTTGATTTTAAATATCTAGTTTATGAAATCTCAGGAAGGATACTTTTTTTTGATCCACCTTTTAACCTTCACTGGGCTTTTTAAAGGGAGGGAGGAGTGGTTTCTCCTCGCTCAACCCTGAACCATTTTATCTCAAGAATTCTGTTCTGAAGTCAGTCATCCTTTGTGTATTTAAACCAGAAGGCTGGATTAGAGTTTCAAAGAAAATGATAGGCCGTGCAAATAACCACAAACGACATTTTTTGTTCTGGGCACCAAAAAGTTGTGGAAAACATTGCCAGGTCAGTTAGAGCACGCATGCAGGGCCTTCCGCTTGGGATTGTGTGTGGAAGCACAGTGTCTCAGGCACCCAAGCTCAGTGGAGTCAGGTGTGTCCAGGAAGTTTAACTCAGTGCCCACCCCCCCCACCCCCGCCCCCGCCCCACCTGCCACATTCTTGTTCTATTTTGGAAAAGAATTTAATTTTATAGAGTGAATGAAATACAACTGGGTGCAGTTTCTTCCAGGGAGCTGCTGGGAGACTCAGGAGCAGGAAAGGGTCCAGCTTGCTGCTCTAAGGGAGTTCTTAGGCCTCCGGCTACTCCTGGGGAGGGGCGGCGCGATGTGCTGCAGGCCTCGCCGTGTGGGAAGGCACGTCACTGAGCCGTGCAGCCCGCTGCCTGTCCGAGCAAGCTCTGCATTCCACAGGGGCTCATCTAGCTTCCTTCCTGAGTTTACAATGACCCACACCCCTGTTAGCAAAATGTCGCCGCCAGTGTGGTGGGGGATGTTGGCACCTCAGACACGACAGAATACCAGTGTACATCAGAGGTTCGTGGGACATGGGATTAAAAGGTAAGCTCATTTTGGTGGAAAAATAAATTTTGGAAATCCATGCATATAGGGCATCTTCAAAGAGTTGATGGGAAATGCATATTCTGAATGGCCTCTGTGTGGATTTCAGTTTTTGCACCGAAATAAACTTAAACCTTTTAACTCAATTTCCCCACCATCTTTGAAGTCCCTTCAAGACATGCAGGTCCTCAGATGAAAGCTACTCACTTTGGGAAATGGCTTGATTGTAAAAAAAAAAAAAAAAAAAAAATCTCCCACGCAGCCAGCGGTCCATCCATACCCCCTGCAGGCACATTCACTGCCATTTGTCCCCCGTCTCCCAACATCAAAGGCTGCACAGGGCCGTGCGCGGCTCCCCCAAAATGAGGTGCGTTTGGGCGGGATGGAAAAGACCCCTAGTTTCTTTCCAGTTACACCAAGTGTGGTGGTGGAACTGAAGCCAACTCCCTGGAAAAGTGGACACATGAGTCTTGAACGAGGGGTGGATGGGTTTGAACACGGCCCAGACCGCAGCCGGGAAGAACACGTCGTTCCTCAGCACCTGCGGTTGCGCGTGCCCGGGGCGGTGAATTCTGTGCTTCGGTTTCTAGGCAACTTGCACACATTTTAAATCTGAAAATAAACACACACACACACACACACACACACACACTTGGTAAAATGATAAAAAGCCTAGTGACATAAGCCGTTTGCCACCACCCTCAGTAACTACAGCAAACAGCCAGCCCCAGGCCGCTACCAGGTCCTGGAAGGGCTCTGGTGGTCAGATGGAGGCAGTGAAGACAAAGCCACTGTAAATAGCCACTGTTGCGGAGTGACTTGGTCGCCACGGCGCCAGCAGAGCTTGTGTGTGCTCCGTCCCCAGGGCCCTGCGAGAGGCAGGTCTCCTCCAGGGACCCGGCTTCACTTACGGGAGACCGCCTTTCCCGTTCTCCGAATCAGTCCTGCACAGAGATTCTTAGAAGTTGTGCGTGGTGCTGTTCCTGCCAGCAGTGGTGTCAGCGCAGGACGGGCTGCCGCGTGACGCCCTGCGTGTCAGCTGTGTCCGTCTTCCGTGCACCCCTTTCCTTGTAGAAGCTCCCGCGACTCATTGCTTCTCACCAACTTTGCGTTACTTCCTGGGGGGGGGCAGGTCCCACCCAGAGGGTGCACCTCCGTGTCTCCACTGCAACCAGGGAGTGGAGGTGGAGCGACAGGAGCAGTCCCAGAGCGCGGCTTCATCTCTACTCGAGGTTGGGACTCGAAGGTAACGGAGGTGGGTTTATAGGTGAAGAGAGTGTTACAGGATCGCTGGTAAACGTGGCAGCCTAAAAGGATCTTGTGAGGCCAGACGCACGTGGAGAGCTTCTGAGCTCTGGGTTTGAAAGAAGAGTGATTGTGGCCCTGCTGAATGGCCAGCAGTCAAATGCAACACATGTGGGTAGGTTCAATTCCTTTAAATATTTAATAACCTAATGGCAGGCAGGGTTAGCATGGGGTCAGCCAGGCCTTTTCATGATGCCGTTGGGGTCTTGAGCAGCATGGATCAATGGAGAAAGCGCCAAGTGAAAGTAGTGGTGTGGGGAAGGAAACATAAGAGCCGTAAGAAAAGTCTGGGTCTGGAACAGCGGCGTCCAAGGCTCTGAGGATCAGCCGGCACCAGGGCTCTGACTTGGGTGCCACGGGACCAGTGGCCCCCCGCTGGTTGGTTTGTAGACTCCTGCAGTAAGGAAGCCTGATGCCTGCTGTCTTTACATGTATTCCTGTGTTCAAGGACGTGTTCACAAATGTGTCATGTTCCTCTGACAGAGATGGAGTAGCTTAAATTGCTGTAGCAGATTTAAAAATGATATTTTTCCAAAGAATAAATCAGTAATAAATATATTGCTAATAGACCCAGTTAATGAACTCGTATGTTCTTACCTGGCTGTCTTCAATGCTAATTCTCTGTGTCTTCACTAAAAACTGGATCTGTTTCAAGTAAGTTCCCTGCTACAGTTAGACAAAGCAGTTTGCTTAAGTATGATAGTCCCCTTGTCCACGGCTTCACTTTTCCAAGGTTTCAATTAACAGGACCATCAGCTGCACTCTGAAAATAGTAAATGGAAAGTTGCAGAGATAAACAACTTCTTTTTTTTTAAATATATATTTTTTGACAGGCAGAGTGGACAGTGAGAGAGAGACAGAGAGAAAGGTCTTCCTTTGCCGTTGGTTCACCTCCCAATGGCTGCTGTGGCCTGCACGCAGGTGCTTCTCCTGGTCTCCCATGCGGGTGCAGGACCCAAGGACTTGGGCCATCCTCCACTGCATTCCTAGGCTGTCGCTCCCCCTCTTCGTGGAGGAACGACACAGGACCCTGCGCTGTTCTTTCGTCTGCTCGGCCCTCCCCGGGTTTGCTGCTGGTTCTTCCCGGGTTGGCTACTATCCCTTCCACCTCCGTGGAAGGGCAGTTCCCCCTGGCCACATTCCCCACTTCCGCAGGGGAGCGGCACACCGCCGGCCGGCTCTCTGGGGGGCTGCACAGGCGTTCCTTCAGATGTTCCCCTTAGATGTTCCTGGTGAATGCCGTCTCTCTCCTCCTTTATAGTCCTCCTCCGCCAATCCTAACTCGGCTGCCCACACGCCGAGTACGCTGCTCTCCAATCAGGAGCAAGTCCTACAGTTTATTGGTTGAACTGGAGGCAGCTGTGCGGAAGCTGTTTACTTCTCTCCCAGCGCCATATTGTGGGAGAGCAGATGCATAGAATAAGTCTTAATTCCAGTAACTCAGTCCAGTCCGGGCTGCTCCCCACACTAGGCCACAGCAGAGAGCTGGACAGGAAGAGGAGCAACCGGGACAGAATCTGGCACTCTGACCGGGACTAGAACCCGGTGTGCCAGCGCCGCAGGTGGAGGATTAGCTTATTGAGCCGCGGCGCCAGCCGAGGTAAACAACTTCTAAGTTTTAAATTGCATGTTATTCTGAGTAGAATGATGAAATCTTGTGTAGCCCAGCTCCGGATCCAGCGTATCCATGCTGTATACACTACCCATCCCTTAGTCACTTGGTCACTGTCTGGGTTAGCAGTACAACAGTGCTTGGGTTCAAGTAACCCTTGTTTTACTTAATAATGGCCCCAGGGGTCAGCGCTGTGGCACAGTCGCTTGCAGCGCTGGTATCCCATATCAGAGTGTTGCTCTGCTTCTGATTTAGTTCCCTGCTAATGGATCTAGAAAAGCAGTAGAAGATGGCCCAAGTACTTGTGTCCTGGATGGAGAGTCCCTGGCTGCTGGCTTCAGCCTGGCCTAATGTTGACTGTTGGGGCCATTTGGGCAATGAACTAGTAGATGAAAGCGCTTGTCTCCATCCCTCTGCCTTTCAAGTGAAGTCTTTAAAGAAAAAAATAAATAAGCAATATTCCTAAATTGCGAAAGTAATGATGCTGGTGATTTAGATATGCCAAGGAGCGGTTGTGAAGTGCTTCCTCATAGGTATGTCTGTATAGGAAAACACGTAGTGTGGGTAAGGCTTGGTACTGTGTGGTTTCAGGCCTCCTCTGGGGATGCTGAGGTGGGTCCCCGGCCTGAAAGAGGGACCTGCTTTTAGTGTTTCCCTCAAATGCTTTCAGGCAAAGTGCATGAGCAGAACTAACGTACAAGTTTGCTCATTTGTTTATCGCCACTACAGACACTGTGTTTATTTCTGTTTTCAAGTCATTCATTTTTGATGCTAGTTTAAGATGCATGATGGCAGACCAAGTCAGATTGCTGACATATTTTTTGTTCTCCTGAGCTTATAAGAACAGCTCTCAGGTTGTTGGATTTTTAGTTACTGTGTGTTGTATTTCCCCTTCCCAAAGAGCTAGAGCAAGTTAACTATGCTGTTTGAGTTGAATTCTGGGGAATTTGCATTGCGGCATTTGAGTGTAACCAAAGGGAAGGCCCAGGGCTCATCAGCACGAGACAGCAGGATGGTTTCTCCTTAGCCCTGGAGGACCTGGGAGTGGAGAGGCAGAGAGGCACTTGGCCAGGGGACTGAGGCCACCACAGCACCAGGCAGCCCTGCTGCCCTAAGGTGTGTACCTACATTGATGGGAACAGTTACACGTACAGGATCAAACAGCCATTGCTTTCCCTTCCTTTGTAAAGTTGAATGCCCAGCCTCTTTATTCTGTGTTTGAATCCCCGCTCTTAGAATTATATTGCTTCTAGGAATGACTTTCTGAGCACTTGAGAGGAAGAAGGGCTGTATATCACGGCGTGCAGTCCTGCCACCACGGCAGATGATCAGACACAAAGCCAAGTTAGCTCTCAGCCGCAGGACCACAGCAAAGCCACATGATAACCACCTGTTCGTGAGGAACGTTGCCGAGTCTTGGGCCAAGTTCATTTTCTCATGTGCTGCTTCCCCTGCTTGAGCCAGTCTGGTTTCCAGCTCTTCCTGAGAATCTGCTGTTAAAGAGGAGAGCGGTGGCCCTATCTCCCTCCCCTCCCTTCCTCCACGTCTGTCTGTCTTTTTAATTGAGAGAGGCAGAAAGATGCTATGCACTGGTTCACCCCCTAAACGTCCACAGCAGCTGCCAGCTGGGGCTGAAGCCGAGAGCCAGGAATTCAGTCCAGGTCTCCCACTGGGTGGCCAGCACCTAACTACTTGAACCATCCTCTGCCTCCTCCTATAGTGTATATTGGCAGGAAGCTAGAGTTAGGAACCAGAGCTGGGACTTGAGTGCAGGCAGTCCCATATTGGATGTGGGTGTCCTGGTTGGCGTCTTCACCACAAGGGCAGATGCCGGCCCAGTCCTCCCATATGTATCTGGCTGTGTGTGAACTCCAGGGATGCCTGCCAGTGATGGGCAAGACCTTCCTGGTTTCCTCCTGGAGCCAGGGCCACCTACAGCAGAGGTGCCTCCGGTTCATCCTCCCTCTGATACAGGTGCAGGGCCTGAGTTTGGGATTATCCAGTTCCCACCACGCCTGTTCTGCTCCACAAATGATAGCAAAGGTAGAAACACTGATCTGAGTGCAGGACGAGTGCTCGCTCCGGCAGCACGCATACTAAAATTGGAACGTGTGACGGATGAGCTGCCAACATCACTTCCGATAAAAGACACGGTAAAGAATGGTACTGCCGATGGTTCCTCAGCGAAGTTTACCTAGAAATGTACGGCTGGTGAACTGTTTTCTCTTGGGAACATTGTAATCAGGCATGAGAAAAAGCAAGTAATCAGGGTAGGCGTTGTGGCACAGCGGGTGGAGCTGCATCCTTCGGCCCCTGCATCCCATATCAGGAGTGCCTGAGATGCAGTCTCACCTCCAGTTCAGATCCAGCCTCCTGCCGATGTGCTTGGAAGCCGGGCAGCAGTTGATGGTCCTCGTGGAGACACAGATGGAGTTCCTGGCTCCTCGGCCTGGGCCAGCCTTGGCTGTGGCAGGGGACTGAAGCGGTGGGTGGAAGATTCTCTCTCTCTCTTTCAAATAAACACATTAAAAAAAATAAAAAGTAATAGGTGCTGATCTTGCAGCCACACGAATTGCGTATATAATAGGACCCCCCCCCCCCCAGTGCCTTGTACTATGTAGACACGTCATCAGGTTTGTTAAGACAGAAAGCCTTGTGCCATTTAGGAACTTGGAATGAAACACTGCGGGGAGCGGGTTGGGGGGGGGGGGGCGGGAAGAAGACCCTTGTGCTTCAGCACTGTAGTAAAATGGCCTCATGAGAAGCTTGGTTTGTGCTCGAGAAATTGAGAACAAGGGCAACTATTCAGAAATCAGATTGTCTTTTGAATCTATTATGTAGTAATGGAAAATTCTGGTATTGCCAGACCGCGGTTCTATACTGTGTATTCAGAGTCCTTTGGCGTGTATATATGAGGGTACCTAAAAAAAAATCTGAGAAAGTGGAATTAAAAAGATGTTTATTTTAGGGCAAAAAATTTTTTAGACGCACAGTTTTTCCTAACATGCATTTTCCGTGGACTTTTTGAAGAGTCTTCGTTTGTGTGTATATACTGGAAGAGGAGGGAGAAAGACTATAAAAAAAAAGTACAATAAACCAGGCTGTGATCTCACCATATGTGTTGAATTGAACACAAATCTTCTGCATTTAATGAAGACTTTAGCCTTTAGGGGTAAATAAAACATCACTAAACAGGGATGGCCTGAATGTTCCTTACTGGCTATAATAATTAAACCCATGAAAAGGTGGTAGGGTTATGTTACTTATTAACTCGAATCGCTTTTAGATTTGATCAAGATGCAGTTGCCCATGGCGCTTTGTTTCATGTGTGTCCTTTGTTGCACTGACAAGCCGTGCCCTGGCTCGGTGGCGCTCTGGAAACAGCCAGGCACCGAACCACCAGGCCCAGGCGGCTTGGAGACCTCCCATCCAGGCCTCAGCCCTCCCAGGCCACTGACCCCAACACGCTTTTCAGCCACTGGGGCTGGGCTGCAAATCACCCATAAAACTACATCGTTGGGGACTGGGAGAAGGACCTGGAAGAAACCCTTTCCCTTTTAGAAGAAGAGAGCTGTTGAATGCCCTTGTAGCTGAGAGCTTTCAAGGGACCTTAGCGAGGAGGTTCACCCTAGGAAGAACGTGGGACTCGGGTTTTTCATTTCCTTATCACTGCCATAATAAATGTGACTACACGTTTAGTGGCCTAAAACAGATCTGTACTCCTGTGGTGTCTGGAGGTCAGAATTCCAAAGTGGGTCTCACTGGGCTCGTGCCAGAGCTGCAGGGCAGAGTCCAGGTCCCGGCCATCTCAGCTTCCAGAGGCCACCCGAGTGCCTCGGCTCACGGCCCCCTCCTTGCTCTCCAAAGCCGGCATGTTCTGGGCTCGCGTCTTCTCAAGGCGCCGTCTCTGGTTCTCCTCCTTCATTTTTTTCCCGTATTTACAAGGACACTTGTGAGGCTGGCATTGTGGCGTAGCAGATAAAGCCACCGCCTGAGATACCGGTATCCCATGGGGGCGCCCATTTCGAGTCCCGGCCTCCTCTTCCAATCTTGCTCCCTGTCCCCACATGGGAGACCCGGAAGAAGCTCCTGGGTCCTGGCTATGAATCAGCCTGGCTCCTGCTATGGCAGCCACTGGGGGAGTGAACGAGCAGATGGAAGATGTTTCTCTAACTCTGCCTTTCAAATAAATAATATAAATCTTAAAAAATGCTTTTTTTAAAAGGATATTTGTAATGACGTTAGACCCACCAGGCACTAATCTGTAAAGGTCATCTGATCAGCAACTTTATTTCCAACTCCAACCAATTCCCATTTGCTAGGTAACCCAACATATTCTCAGGTTTAGGAAAGATTTGTTTTCTTTGAAAGGCAAGAGTTAGAGACAGGGAAATCTTCCATCCACTGGTTTGCTCCTCAAATGTCCACCACGGCTGGGGCTGGGCCAGGTTGAAGTCAGGAATTTCTTCCAGGTTTCCCACATTGGTGGCAAGGGCCCAAAGAGCTGGGCCATCTTCTGCTGCTTTCCCAGGTGCATTAGCAGGGAGCTAGATCAGAAGTGGAGCAGCTGGGACAGGAAGTGGCGCCCATACGGGAAGCCTGCATCATAGGCTGTGGCTTAACCCACTATACCACGAATCTGGCCCCAGCTTTGTAGCTTCTTAAAACCACTATCAGGAAAATAATATATGGAACACACATACATGGTGTAATAGGAGAAACTGTCATTGAGTTTAAATGGGGTTTCTGTTTTACTGTACTAAGATACCAACTGCTGGATATAAAGGGAAATTTTAAGTGGATACAGATAATTTATAATTTTAGTTTTGGAGAAACTGGCATTTCTGTTCAGAGAAATGATCCAGTTACCATAGCTTTATTGACTTGTGAATAATTGAGCTAATAGTCATTTGTCTTGTGAATGTTTGCACTATAATTTGTTGTTAGCACCTCAATTTACAGGAGAGCCTCTAATAAAAACGAGAATT